AACACATAACAATATTAACCCTAAATGTAAATGGGCTAAATGCCCCAATCAAAAGACACAGACTGGCAAATTGGATAAAAAGCCAAACCCCCCCCATAAAAAAAAAAAAAAAAAAAGCCAAAACCCATCCGTGTGCTGTATCCAGGAAAGCCATCTCACATGCAAGCATACACAAAGGCTCAAAATAAAGGGATGGAGGAAGATTTACCAAGCAAATGGACAGCAACGGAAAGCAGAACATGCAATTCTTGTCTCTGATAAAACAGACTTTAAACCAACAAAGATCAAAAGAGACAAAGAAGGACATTACATAATGGTAAAAAGATCAATGCAACAAGAAGAGCTAACGATCCTAAATATATACGCACTCAATACAGGAGCACCCAGATACATAAGGCAAGTTCTTAATGACTTACAAGGAGACTTAGACTCCCACACAATAATAGTGGGAGACTTTAACACCTCATTGTCAATATTAGACAGATCAACAACAGAAAATAAACAAGGATATCCAGGACTTGAACTCAGACCTGGACCAAGCAAACTTAATAGACATTTACAGAACTCTCCACCCCAAATCCACAGAATATACATTCTTCTCAGCACCACATCACACCTACCCTAAAATTGACCACATAATTGGAAGTAAATCACTCCTCAGCAAATCCAAAAGAATGGAAATCATAAAAAACAGTCTCTCACCACAGCACAATCAAGTTACAACTCAGAATGCAGAAACTAACTCAGAACCGCACAGCTTCATGGAAACTGAACAACTGGCTCTTGAATGTTGACTAGATAAACAATGAAATGAAGGCAGAAATAAAGATGTTCTTCGAAACCAGTGAGAACGAAGACACAACGTACCAGAATCTCTGGGACACATTTATAGCAGTCTCTAGAGGAAAATATACAACAATAAATGCCCACATGAGAAAGAAGGAGAGATCTAAAATCGACACCCTATCATCAAAATTGAAAGAGCTAGAGGAGCAAGATAAAAAAAACTCAAAACCTAGCAGAAGACAAGAAATAGCTAAGATCAGAGCAGAACTGAAGGAGGTAGAGACACACCAAAAATCTTCAAAAAATCAATAAATCCAGCAGCTGGTTTTTCAAAAAGATCAACAAAATAGACCACTAGCCAGATTAATAAAAAGGAAAGGAGAGAATAATCAAATAGACGCAATAAAAACGATAAAGGGGATATCACCACAGATTCCACAGAAATTCAAACCATCATCAGACATTATTACAAACAACTCTATGCACATAAACTAGTAAATGTGGAATAAATGAATAAATTCCTGGACACTTGCAACTTCTCAAGCCTAACACTAGGAAGAAGTCAAAACCCGGAATAGGCCAATAAAAAGGTCTGAAGTTGAGGCAGCAATTAAGAGTCTACCACCCCAAAAAAGCCCAGGTCCAGATGGGTTCACAGCTGAATTCTACTGAACATACAAAGAGGAGCTGGTACCATTCCTTCTGAAACTATTCCAAACAATCCAAAAAGAGGGAATCCTTCCCAAATCATTTTATGAGACCAACATCATCCTCATACCAAAACCCGGCAGAGATTCAGCAAGAAAAGAAAACTTCAGGCCAATATCCATGATGAACATAGATGCAAAAATCTTCAATAAAATACTGGCAAACCAACTGCAACAGCACATCAAAAATCTTATCCACCATGACCAAGTAGGATTCATCCTGGGGGTGCAAGGCTGGTTCAACATATGCAAGTCTATAAACATAATTCACCACATAAACAGAACCAAAGACAAAAACCACATGATTACCTCAATAGATTCAGAGAAGGCCTTTGACAAAATTCAACAGCCCTTTATGCTAAAAAAACCTCAATAAACTAGGTATTGATGGAACGTTATCACAAAACAATAAAAGCTACTTACGACAAACCAACAGTCAATATCATACTGAATGGGCAAAAACTGGAAGCATTCCCTTTGAAATCTGGCACTAGACAAATATGCCCCTTCTCACCACTCCTATTCAATATAGTACTGGAAGTTCTAGCCAGAGCAATCAGGCAAGAAAAAGAAATAAAGGGTATTCACATAGGGAAGGAGGACGTCAAATTGTCTCTATTTGCAGATGACATGATTGTATATCTAGAAGGCCCCCATCATCTCAGCCCAAAATCTCCTGAATGTGATAAGCAACTTCAGCAAAGTCTCAGGATACAAAATCAATGTTCAGAAATCACATGCATTCCTATACACCAATAACAGACTTAAAGAGAGCCAAATCAAGAATGAACTACCATTCACAATTGCTACAAAGAGAATAAAATACCTAGGAATATAACTAACAAAGAACGTAAAGGACATCTTCAAGGCGAACTATAAACCACTGCTCAATGAAATAAGAGAGGACACAAACAGATGGAGAAACATTCCATGTTCATGGTTAGGAAGAATCAATATCGTGAAAATGGCCACACTGCCCAAAGTAATTTATAGATTCAATGCTATCCCCATCAAGCTACCAATGACCTTCTTCACAGAACTGGAAAAAAACACCTTAAACTTCATATGGAACCAAAAGAGAGCCCACATAGCCAAGTCAATTCTAAACAAAAAGAACAAAGCAGGAGGCATCACACTACTGGACTTCAAACTATACTCCATCGGCAACAATAATCAAAACAGCATGGTACTGGTACCAAAACAGAGATATAGGCCAATGGAACAGAACAGAGGCCTCAGAGGCAACACAAGACATCTACAACCATCCAATCTTTGACAAGCCTGGCAAAAACAAGCAATGGGGAAAGGATTCCCTGTTTAATAAATGGTGTTGGTACAACTGGCTTGCCATCTGCAGAAAGCAGAAACTGGACCCCTTCCTGATACCTTACACTAAAATTAACTCCAGATGGATTAAAGGCTTAAATCTAAGACCTAACACCATGAAAACCCTAGATGAAAATCTAGGCAAAACCATTCGGGACACAGGTGTAGGCAAAGACCTCATGACCAAAATACCAAAAGCATTGGCAACAAAAGCCAAAATAGACAAATGGGACCTAATCGAACTCCACAGCTTCTGCACAGCAAAAGAAACAGTCATTAGAGTTAATTGGCAACCAACAGAATGGGAAAAAGTTTTTGCAGTCTACCCATCTGACAAAGGGCTTATATCCAGAATCTACAAAGAACTAAAAGAGATTTACAAGAAAAAACCAAACAAGCCCATTCAGAAGTGGGCAAAGGATATGAACAGACACTTTACAGAAGAAGACATACATGAGGCCAACAAACATATGAAAAAATGCTCATCATCACTGGTCATTAGGGAAATGCAAATCAAAACTACATTGAGATACCATCTCATGCCAGTCAGAACAGCGATCATTAAAAAATCTGGAGACAAGAGATGCTGGAGAGGATGTGGAGAAAAAGGAATGCTTATACACTGTTGGTGGGAGTGTAAATTAGTTCAACCACTGTGGTAGACGGTGTGGCAATTCGTCAAGGACCTAGAAACAGAAATTCCGTATGACCCAGCAATCCCATTACTGGGTATATATCCAAAGGATTATAAATCATTCAACTATAAGGACACATGCACATGAATGTTCACTGCAGCACAGTTTACAATAGCAAGGACCTGGAACAAACCCAAATGCCCATCGATGATAGACTGGACAGGGAAAATGTGGCACATACACACTATGGAATATTATGCAGCCATCAAAAACGATGAGTTCGTGTTTTTTGTAGGGACATGGATAAACCTGGACACCATCATTCTCAGGAAACCGACACAAGAACAGAAAATCAAACACCGCATTTTCTCGCTTCTAGGCAGGTGTCTAACAATGAGAACACATGGACACAGGGAGGGGAGCATCACACACTGGGGTCTGTTGGGGGGAAATAGGGGAGGGACAGCGGGCGTTGGGGAGCTGGGGAGAGATAGCACGGGGAGAAATGCCAGATATAGGTGATGGGGAGGAAGGCAGCAAATCACACTGCCATGTGTGTACTTATGCAACAATCTTGCATGTTCTTCACATGTACCCCAAAACCTAAAATGCAATAAAAAAATTAAATTAAATTGAAAAAAAAAGAATTTTACATTGAGCACAACTAAGCTTCATAAATGAAAGAAAGATACAGTCTTTTTCAGACAAACAAATGCTGAGACAATTCATAAGTCTCACAGGACCTATAAAACAAAAATACAGTAATTTTAAAAACTACCAGGTATACAGCCAACAAATAGCACAATGAATGAAATAGTACCTCACATCTCAATACTAAAGTTGGGTGTAAATCACCTAAATGCTCCACTTAAAAGAAACAAAATAGCATAATGGATAAGAATTCACCAACTAAGTAAGTATCTGCTGCTTTCAAGAGATTTACCTAACACTCAAAGACTCACAGAAACTTAAGGTAAAGGGGTAGAAAAAGACATTCCATGCAAATGAACACCAAAAGTGAGCAGGAGTAGCTTTTTTATAACAGATAAACTTCAAAGCAACAGCAGTTAAAAAAGATGGAAAAAAACATCAAAAACCACAATTACTTTTGCACCAACCTAATACAATGATAAAAGGCCTTGTCTAACAGGAAAATATCACAATCCTAAATATATATGCACCTAACACTGGAGCTCCCAAATGTATAAAACAATTACTACTAGACCTAAGTAACGAGATAGCAACACAATAATAGAGGAGGACTTCGATACTTCCACTGACGGCACTAAACAGGTCATCGACAACAAGACAGAAAGTCAACAACAACAACAAACAATGGATTTAAACTATGTCCTTGAACAAATGGACTTAACATATTTACAAAATATTCTACCCAACAACCACAGAATATACATTCTGTTCATTAGCACATGGAACTTTCTCCAAGATAGAACATATGATAGGTCACAAAACAAGTCTCAATAAATTTAAGAAAACTGAAATTTTATCAAGTACTCTTTCAGACCACAGTAGAATAAAACTGGAAATCAACTCCAAGAGGAACCGTCAAAACCATGCAAATACATGGACGTTAATAATCTGCTCCTGAGTGATAATTGGGTCAACAATGAAATCAAGATGAAAATTTAAAAAACTATTCAAACTGAACAATAATCACAATCTATCAAAACCTATGGGATATAGCAAAGGTGGTGCTAAGAGGAAACTTCTTGGCCTTAAATGGCCACATCAAAAGTCTGGAAGAGCACAAATAGAGAATCTAAGGTCACACCTCAAGGAACTAGAGAAACAAGAACAAACCAAACCCAAACCCAGCAGAAGAAAGGAAATAACCAAGATCAAAGCGGAACTAAATGAAAATGAAGCAAAACAAAACAAAAGATAAATGAAACAAAAAGCTGGTTCTTTGAAAAGATAAATAAAATTGACACACCATTGGCAAGACTAACCAAGAGTGAAGATCCAAGTAAGCTCAATTAGAAAGAAATGGAAGATATTACAACTGATATCACAGAAATACAAAAATCACCCAAGGCTACTATAAACACCTTTACTCACATAAACTAGAAAACCTAGAGGATGATGGATAAATTCCTGGAAAGATACAACCCTCCTAGCTTAAATCAAGAAGAATTGGAAACCCTAACCAGATCAATAAAAAGCAGCGAGATGGAAATGGTAATAAAAGAATTACCAATAATAAAATTCCAGGACCAGATAAATTCACAGCTGAATTCTACCAGACATTCAAAGAATTCGTACCAATCCTTTTGACACTATTATACAACATACAGAAAGAGATAATCCTCTCTAAATTATTCTATGAAGCCAGTATCACCCTAATACCAAAACCAGGAAAGGACATAAGACACACACAAAATACTATAGACCAATAACCCTGAAGAAAATAGATGCAAAATCCTTAACGAAATACTAGCTAATCACATCCAACAACATATCAAAAAGACAATCCACCATGATCAAGTGGGTTTCATACCAGGGATGCAAGGGCAGTTTAACATATGCAAATCAATAAATGTGATACACCACATAAACAGAATTAAAAACAAAATCACACGACCATCTCAACAGATGTTGAAAATGCATCTCACAAAATCTGGCATCCCTTTATGATTAAAACCCTCAGCAAAATCAGCATATAAAGACATATCTCAATGTAATAAAAGCCATTTATGATAAACCCATGGCCAACATAATAATGAACAGGGAAATGTTGAAAGCATTCCCTCTGAGAACTGGAATAAGACAAGGATGCCCACTTTCACTATTTCTATTCAACACAGTAACAGAAGTCCTAGCCAGAACAATCAGACAAGAGAAGGATATTAAGGGCATCCAGATCAGTAAAAAGGAAATCAGATTGTCACTGTATGCTGATGATATTATTGTATACTTAGAAAATCCAAAAGACTCCTCCAAAACACTCCTAGAATGGATAAATGAATTCAGCAAAGTTTCAGGATATGAAATTAATGTACACAAATCAGCAGCTCTGTTATATACCATCATCAACCAAGCTGAGAATCAAATTAAGAACTCAATCCCTTTTACAATAGCTGCAAAGTAAATAAAATACTTAGTAATATGCCTAACCAAGGAGGTGAAAGGTCTCTACAAAGAAAACTACAAAACGTTGCTGAGAGAAATCACAGACAACATAAACAAATGTAAATACATCCCATGCTAATGGATAGGTAGAATCAATATTGTGGAAATGACCATATTGCCAAAAGCCATCTACAAATGCAACGTAATTCCCATCAAAATACCACCATCATTCATCATAGAACTAGAAAAAAGCAATCTTAAAATTTATATGGAACCAAAAAAAGCCCACTTAGCCAAAGCAAGACTAAGCCAAAAGAACAAATCTGGAGGCATGACGTTACCTGATTTCAAAGTATACAATAAGGCCATAGCTAACAAAACAGCATGGTGCTGGTATAAAAAATAGGAATACAGACCAATGAAACAGAATAGAGAACGCACAAATAAACCCAAATACTTAACAGCCAACTGATCTTTGACAAAGCAAACAAAAACATAAAGTGGGGAAAGGACACCCTATTCAACAAATGATGCTGGGGAAACTGGCAAGCCACACGTAGGACAACGAGAGATCCTCATCTCTCACTGTATACAAAAGTCAACTCAAGATGGATCAAGGACTTAAATTTAAGACTTGAAACTATACAATTTCTAGAAGATAACATTAAAAAGACCTTTCTAGACATCGGCTTAGGCAAAGATTTCATGATCCAGAACCCAAAGCAAATGCAATGAAAACAAAGATAAAGAGGTGGGACTTAATTAAACTAAAGAACTTTTGTACGGCAAGAGGAACAGTCACCAGAGTAACAGACAACCCATAGAGTGAGAGAAAATCTTCACAATCTGTACATCTCACAAAGTACTAATATCCAAAATCTACAAGAAACTCAAACAAATTAGCAAGAAAAACCCAAACAATCCAAACAAAAAGTGGGTTAAGGATATGAACATACAATTCTCAAAAGAAGATACACAAACGGCAAATAAACATATGAAAAAATGCTGAATATCACTAACGATCAGGGAAATGCAAGTCAACACCACAATGCCATATCACCTTATTCCTGACAAGAATGACCATAATAAAAAAATCAAAAAATAATAGATGTAGGTGTGGATGTAGTGAAAAGGGAGCACTTCTACACTGCTGGTGGGAATGTAAACGAGCACAATACTATAGAAAATAGTGTGGAAATTCCTTAAGTAACTAAAAGTAGAACTATCACCTGACCCAGCAATCCCACTACTGGGTACTGACCCAGAGGAAAAGAAGTTGTTATAGGAAAAAGATACATGCACATGCATGTTTACAGCAGCACAATTTGCAACTGCAAAAATGTGGAACAAGTCCAAATGCCCATCAATCAACGAGTTCATAAAGAAACTGTGTATATATATATATATACCATGGAATACTACTCAGCCATAAAAAGGATTTATAAAGAATTAATGGCATTTGCAGCAACTTGGATGGGACTGGAGATTATTATTTTAAGTGAAGTAACTCAGGAATGGAAAAACAAACATGGTACGTTCTCACTCATAAGTGGGAGCTAAGCTATGAGGATGCAAAGGCAGAAGAATAATACAACAGACTTTGGGGACTGGTCGGGGGGAATGGGTGGGAAGCGGGTGAGAAATAAAAGACTACAAATTGAGTTCAGTGTATACTGCTTGGGTGATGGGTGCACCATTGTCTCAAAAATTACCACTAAAGAACTTACTCATGTAACCAAATACTATCTGTTCCCCAAAAACCTATGGAAATAAAAAATCAAAAAAAAAAAGAAAGAAAAAAGAAAGAAAATTCTTGGGATCAAAAGGTTATATAAGACTGTGTTGTTTAATCTGCACATATTTATTAATTTTACAGTTTTCCTTCTGTTAGTGATTTCTAGGTTCATTCCATTGTGAACAGAAAAGATACTCGGTAGTTTGAAAGTTTTAAAATGTATTAGTTTGCTAGAGCTACCATAACAAAATACCAGTCTGAGTGACCTAGCCAAAATTTATTTTCTCACATTTCTGGATGCTGGAGGTACATGATCAAGATACAAGTAGGCTTGGTTTTTCCTGAGGCCTCTCTCCTTGGCTTGTCTCTTTCACTGTGCTCCCACATGGCACTTTCTCTGTGTGCACACATCTCCTTCTTGGTGTAAGGACACCAGTCATACTAAATTAGAACCCATTCTACTTAACCATAATTACCTCTTTAAAGGCTCTATTTCCATATAGCCACATTCTGAGATGTAATGGGAGTTAGGACTGTAGCATATGAATTTCAGGGGAACACAATCAATTCATAACAATTTGTTTTGTTGTTTAACGTATGGTCTAATCTAGAGAATGTTATGTATGCACTTAAGAATGGGTATTATATTTTTGGATGCAGTATTTTAGGTCTAATTGGTTTATACAGCTGTTGAATCCTTTATTTCCTTACGGATTTCCTATATCATTGTTCTCACCATTATTGAAAGTGGGTACAAGTCTTCAACAGTTATTGTAGATCTATTTCTCCCTTTAATTCTGTCCATTTTTACTTCATGTATTTTGGGGCTCCTTTGTTATGTATATATTTAGAATTGTTTTATGTTTTTGCTGTGTTAAACCTTTTATCAATTTAAAGTCCTCTGCATCTCTTGTAAACTTTCTTAGATTTAACAAGTCAATTTTGTCTGATAATAATATAGTCACTCGTTCTTTTTTAGTATTTTCATTATTTTGCTATCAACCATTTTGTGTCCTTATGTTTAATTTGATTCTCTTGTAGACAGCTTATAGATGGATTCTTGTTTTGTTTAATCTTATCTACCTTTTAACAGTCATGTTTCATTCATTTACATGATTATCAATAAAGAAGGAATTCACTTTTTCCCTCAATTGTTTCCTATATGCCTTACATACTTTTTTGCTTTTCAATTACTTCATTACTATTTTTCTGTTTTTCTTTTTTTGCTGTTTCATTTTAATTCCCTTCTTTTCTCCCATTCTCTATATTAGTTATTTTCTTAAAAATTTTCTTGGAAATTACAATCAATATCTTAAATAACATCCTTTGACTAATATCAACTAAGTTTCAGTAGTCTACAGCACTCTGTTACTCTACATCTCTACCCCCTCCCTTTTTATTCTTATTGTCACTCTATCTTTTTTTTTTTTTTTTTTTTTTTTGAGACAGAGTCTCACTCTGTCGCCAGGCTGCAGTGCAGTGGTGCAATCTTGGCTCACTGCAACCTTTGACTCCCTCGTTCAAGAGATTCTACTGCCTCAGCCTTGCCAGTAGCTGGGATTACAGGCACGTGCCACCATGCCCAGCTAATTTTTGTGTATTTAGTAGAGACAGGGTTTCACCAGGTTGGCCAGGATGGTCTTGATCTCCTGACTTTGTGATCTACCCACCTTGACCTCCCAAAGGGCTGGGATTACAAGCGTGAGCCACTGCGCCCAGCCATAGGCTATATCTTTATATATTACATACATCCTATTATAGATTTATAAGTATTATTAAATTTGCCCATTACATTATATAGGAAAAAGAGAAATAACAATTTCAAAAGCACAGTAACAATGGCTTTTACATTTACCTATGTAACTACCTTGACCAACAGTCTTTATTTTTTCTTTTGGCTTCAAACTGCTGTATAGTATCTCTTCCTTTCAGCCTGAAGGACTTGCCTTAGCATTTCTTGTCTATCAGTAGTGAACTACTTTGGCTTTTATAATATTTGGAAATGTCTTAATTTCTCCTTTATTCTTAAAATTTTTTTTTTTTTTTTTTTTTTTTTTTTTTTTTAGAGAGAGCATCTTGCTGTGTTGCCTAAGCAGGAGGGAGTGCAGTGGCTATTCACATACACGCTCACAGCACACTGCAGCCTCAAGTTCCTGGGTTCCAGCAATCTTCCTCCCTCAGTCTCCCAAGTCACTGAGGCTATAGATGTAAGCCACCATGCCCAGCTTCATCTCCTTTATTCTTAAAGATATTGGCCGGGCGCGGTGGCTCATACCTGTAATCCCAGCACTTTGGGAGGCTGAGGAGGGCGGATCACTTGAGGTCAGGAGTTTGAGACCAGGTTGGCCAACATGGCAAAACCCCATCTCTACTAAAAATAAAAAACTAGCTAGGTATGGTGGCACGTGCCAGTAGTCCCAGCTACTCTGGAGGCTAAGACGGGAGAATCCCTTGAACCTAGGAGGCGGAGGTTGCAGTGAGCTGAGATCATGCCACTGCAGTCCAGCATGGGAGACAAAGTGAGACTCTGTCTCAAAAAACAAACAAACAAAAAAACAGATACTGTTGCCAGATAGACAATCTTGGTTGACAGTTTCTTTCTTTCAGGTCTTTAAATATGTCATCCCACTGCTTTCTGGCCCCCATAGTTTCTTTTTTTGTTTGTTTCTCTTTTTTTTGATTGGTTGATTTTGGACCTTGTAGTTTCTGATGAGAAATAAACTGTTAACATTATTGAGGAGCCCTTATATGTGACAAGTTGCCTCCCTCTTGCTGCTTTCAATATACCATCTTTGTTTTTGGGTTTCAGCAATTTCACTATAATGTGCCTTGGTGTAAACCTCTGATGTTTTATGCTTGAAGTACACTGGCCTTCTTGGGTATGTACATTAAAAATTTTCAAAAATAAAAAAATAAAAAAAAATTCATCAAACATGAAGAATTTTACTATTCTTCAAGTATTTCAAATTAGCATTTCAAGTGGTAGCAATTACCATTCCCTAGCCCCATAATCCTGGTTTAGATTCATGGGACCAGGGTAGATTATGTGTTCTGATGGCTAACTGTTGCTTTTGATCACTGAGGAGCTGGCACAGAAACTAGAAGATACTGTTCCTCAGCCATTATTCTTCAAATATGTCTTTCTGGTGTTTTCTCTCTCTCTTTTCCTTCTGGTACTCCTGTAATACAAAGGGTTCTATGTTTGATAATGTCTCACAGGTCCTTTGGGCTCTGTTCATTTTTTCCATTCTGCTTCTCAGACAGAAAAAGTTCAATTTTCTTTTCTTCAAGTTCAATGAATTTGTGTTCTACCTCCTCAAATCAGCTGTGGAACCTCTCTAGTGTGTGTGTTTCTTTTTTCTTTCTTTTCTTGTGGCAGGATCTCAATCTGTTGCCTGGGTTGGAGTGCAGTGGCGCAATCTCAACTCACTGCAACCTCTGCCTCCCAGATCCAAGCCATTCTTGTGCCTCAGCCTCCCAAGTAGCTGGACTTCGGGCATGCATCACCACACCCAGCTAATTTTTGCATTTTTTGTAGAGATGGGGTTTCTTCATGGTGCCCAGGCTGGTCTTGAACTCCTGGACTCAAGTGATCCACCCACCTCAGCCTTCCAAAGTGCAGGAATGAAAGGCATATGTCACCATGCTCAGTCTCTACTGTGTTTTTAAAATATAAATTACTGTACTTTCACTCCAGAATTTCTCTTTGGTTTTTAAATAATTTCAATATCTTTACTGATATTTTCATTTTTTGATATCATTTTCCTGATTTCCTTTAGTTCTTTATCTATGGGTTCCTTTAACTAATTGAACATGCTTAAGACAGTTGATTTCACATTTTTGACTAGTAATTCCAATATCTGAATTTCCTTGGGGATGTCTCATGTAAAATTATGTTTTTCCTGTACTGGGCCATACTTTTCCTGTTTCTGTGTGTGTTCTGTCATTTTTTGTTGAGAATTGGACATTTGTGTAGTATTTTATAAAAACTCTGTAATCTATCCCACTCCTTAGGGATTGCAGAATCTTACTTGCTGAAGGCTGAAATTGTCCATCTGTGACATTTCCAAATTATACTTTAATATTTGCTGTAAGTGTTCAACTGGACTGTAGAATTCCACAACAGACACTTCATACGGTTCCTTCCAGGTCGGTAGTTATTTAGATAAAGGGATGGATTTCTGGAGCTTCCTAATCTATCATTTTCATAAACCTTGCTCCTCTCAGTTGCTCTCTTTACTCAGTATCTTAGATTAGGAAGAGCATGGTAATTTGTTTGCTAATATTTTGTTCAAGTGTTCCCATTTCTGCTTCCCTCTACTGGAAATAACAATGTACATTTGCATATGAGAGACTCTGAGCAGTCCTACAATACAACAACTGGGACACATTTCAGCAGCCTTTTCCAAGCTTATTTGAGCAGAAAACACTTTAATCATATTTCTATGAACACCCTGCTATAGCCTGAATGTGTTTCCCAAAGTTTCAGCATTGGAAACTTAATTTCCAATGCAACAGAATTGGGAGGTGGAACCTAATAAATGGTGATTAGCTCACGAGGGTGCTACCTTCCTGAATGGATTTATGTCATTACCATGGGGGTGGGCTAGCTATCACAAGAATGGCCTCATTATAAAAGCAAGTTTGGCTCTCTCTTGCTTTTGTGCTCTCTTGCCCTTTCATCTTCTGCTATGGGAAGATGAAGCATGAAGGCCCTCAACAAATACTGGTGCTATGCTCTTGGACTTCCCAGCTTCTAGAACCATAAGACAAATAAATTTTTTTCTTTTTCTGAGACAGGATCTCACTCTGTTACAGAGGCTGAAGTGCAGTAGTGTGATCAGGGCTCAATTCAGCCTTGACCTCCCTTGGCACAGGTGATTCTCCCACCTCAGTCTCTCAAGGAGCTGGGACTACATGCATACACCATCATGCCTGACTAATTTTTTTTATTTTTTGTAGAGATGAGGTTTTCCCAGGCTGCTCACGAACTCCTGGACTCAAGCAATCCACTGCTAGCCTCAGCCTCCCAATGTGTCAGGATTACAGACATGAGCCATTGCACCTGGCTGATAAATTTCTACTGCTTATAAATTACGCAGTGTCAGGTTTTCTGATAGCATCACAAAACAGACTAAGACACACCCCACGGAAAAGTGTCATCTACTTCACTTCCTCCTCATGTAGAATAAATGACTGCCCTCCTTCCAGTTTTTCAGATTATCCAGATTACCCTCACAGTCTTTATCTTTTCCCTTTTCGTACTGCATTAATTTTCTTTCCTACTTAATTCCTCTCAAGACACCCCATAATTTTGGTGGTTGAATTCCTGGTTGTCTCAATAGGAAGATAATCTCATTCAATAAACAAACCTTCTGTCTTTAGCACTGCTTTGGTCGTCCCAGCAATAGTAGCCAGCAATTTATTTATTTCAAAGAATCTGATGTGGCAAATGTAAAACAGGAACCAAAGTAGCTGTGAATAGGCCCATGGGCTCTACCTCTCTCCTCTGCCAATTAACACACATGGGTTATAATGGAAACCCAGACAAGCTGACAGTTTCTCTTTTGGCATCACAATCTTTCTTGTGTTTACTCTGGGCTCTAATTACTGCTGGCACCAAAAAAAAAAAAAAAAAAACCACACAAAACTATAGTTGTCTGGGCCCCACAAATCCATCCCAAGTCTCCCATTTCAGTACATGGCATGATCATTAACTTGTTTGCTCAAGCCAAAAACTTAGTTGTTTTCCTATCTTTCCTTCAAATACCACATCAAACCCATCAGCAAATCCTGTTGCCTCTAACTCCAAAATATATTCTGAATCCACTATTCATGATCATAGTCCAAATCACCACCTTCTTTCATACCTCAGCTACTCCCATAGCCTCCCAGATGCATTTATTCTGCCCTTCTACGCCAAGTAATCCTCCACAGACTTTAAAAGGTGAATCAGATCATCATGACTCTCCTATAAATCTTAGCTCTTCAACACTGCACACAGGGTGGTTCTCCAGACTCACTTTCTGCTGCTGCTGCCTTGAAATTTCCACTTTGTACACAAAGCACTACATATACCCCTGCGTATGTCTTGCACTGGGCCATTCTGACTTTTTGGTCTTTACTCACGTGGTCTCCTCTACTCCAAATGCCCTCACAGTCCCTACGCTGGTTCTTTCTAATATAGTCCTTTTAGCTGAGATAGGGCATCATCAACTTCAAGAAGCTACCTGTCACCACATCTCTCAGTCCGTACTCTCTCCAGCATACACACATATAAACAAGGTACACACACATACACTCACACATATACTCACATAACCACCCACCCCTACTGACTTACCTACCTAATGGTTGTGCTTACCTCCCCAGTGCTCTCATATCCTCTGTACAGATATCTATTACTATGCCTATGAGGGTCTTTTAGAACTTGTTTATTTTCTCTTGTACTACACTGTGAGCTCCTTAAGGGCAGAAATAATTTGACATTCATGTTGAATGTTGTATTCCCAGGAATTCTAGTACAAGGCTTATTAAAGAATAAGTAAGTAAACATTCAGTAAATTTTTTTAAATGAATGTACAAATCAGCAAAGTCTTCCCATTCAATTAGGGAGGATAAACAAGGCTGACAGCATCCTCACGATGATATAATACATTAATCATACAGTTACTGAGTGCCTACTACATTTCAAGCAGTATTCCAGGCATTGGGAATACAGTAGTAAAACAATTTTGATTTGAATGTTTTAGCCAAAGTGATAAGACATTATTCAGATAAAGAAGCATGAATACTGGGAAGGAAATATTAAAATTATTATTCTAAGTGATATAACTATAAAAAGAAAAGCTGTCACCAGTAAATAAATGTAAGAAAAAGTACAGGCATATCTTGGAGATATTGCAGGTATAGCTGCAGACCACCCCAAGAAAGTTATCAGAACAAGGCAAGTCACATGAATTTTTGTTTCCCATTGTACAAAAAAGTTATGTTTATACTATATTATAGCCTATCAGGTGTGCAACAGCATTATATCTAAAAAAATGCACATACCTTAATCAAAAACGCGTTATTGACTTAAAAAATGTAGCCTCAGTGAGTCATAATCTTTTTGCGGAGAAAGGGTCTTGGCTTGATGTTAATGGCTACTGGCTGACTGGGGTGGTGTTTGGTGAAGGCTGGAGTGGCTGAGGCAGTTTCTTAAAGAGAACAATAAAGTTTGTTGCATCAACTGACTCTTCCTTTCCAGAAAGATTTCTCTGTAGCATGAGATATTGTTTGATGGCATTTACCCACACTGGAATTTCTTTCAGAATTATAGTAAATCCTCTAAAACCTGCTGCTGCTTTATCATTAAGTTTTTGAAATATTCTAAATTCTTTGTTGCCATTTCAACAATGTTCACAGCATCGTCACCAGAAATATATTTCATCTAAAGAAACCAATTTCTTTGCTCATTCATAAGAAGAAATCCTCATCCATTAAAGTTAGGAGATTTTAGCATTCAATCCCAATCTTCAGGCTTTATTTCTAATTCGAGTTCTCTTGCTTTTTCTACCACATCTACAGTTACTTCCTCCACTGAAGTCTTAAACCCCTTAAAGTCACTGATGAGGGCTAGAACCAACCTCTTCCATATTCCTGACAATGTTGATATTTTGACCTCCTCCCATGAATTATGAATGTTCTTAAAAGGAGGTAGAATGGCGAGTCCTTTCAGGAAGGTTTTCAATTTACTTTGCCCAGATCCTTCAAAGGAATCATTATCTATGGCAGCTATAGCAAGGCTTGAAAGTCAGAATTAAACCTTGATCCACAGGCTGCAGAATGGATGTTGTGTTAGCAGTCATGAAAATAATGTTAATCTCCTTGTACATCTCCATGAGAGCTCTTGGCTGACCAGGCGCATTGTCAATGCGGGGTAGTATTTTAAAAGAATTTTCTTTTTCCCCTGAGCAGTAGGTCTCTAGTATTTAGTAAACCATGCTATAAACAGATGTGCTGTCAACCAGGCTTTATTATTCCATTATTATTCCATTTATAGAACACAAGCTAAGTAGATTTAGCATAATTCTTAAAGGCCCTACAATTTTCAGAATGATAAATGAACATTGGTTTCAACTTAAAGTCACTAGCTGCATTAGCCCCTAATAAGAGAGTCAGCCTGTCCTTGGAAGCTTTGAAGCCAGGCATTGACTTTTCCTCACCAGCTATGAAAGTCCTAAGTAGTATCTTCTTCAAATACAAGGCTGTTTCATCTACGTTGAAAATCTGTTGTTTGGTGCAGCCACTTTTATCAATGATCTTAGCCGTATCTTCTGGATAATCTGCTGCAGTTTCTCTGTCAACACTTGTTACTTTATCTTGTACTTTTATGTTATGGGAGAGTTTCTTAAATCTCATGAATCAACCTTTGCTAGCTTCAAATTTTTCTTCTGAAGCTTCCTCACCTCTCTCAGCCTTCTAAGAATTGTAGAGGGTTAGGGTCTCACTCTGGATTACGCTTTGGTTTAAGGAAATGTCGGGGGACGATCCAAGATGGCCGTTTAGGAACAGCTCAGGATTGCAGCTCCCTGTGAAAGCGCAGAAGGTGAGTGGACGCCGCGTTTTTATTGCCCACAGACTAGGAAATTCCCGGGCGGAGGTGCTCCACGGTCGCCAGCGCGGCTGTTTCGGCCAGCGCGACTGTGCCGGCCAGCGCCGCTGCTTTGCCCTGCGCGGCTGCTTTGTCGGCGCCCCGGAGCGGCGGTTCTCCATACAAAATACACCCGTCCGGGGGCCCTTTTGGCTGGCGATTGGAGCCACGGGAAGTCACCCATACACCGGTTCAAAAAGGGGACTGAGCAGAGAACCAGGACAGTAGATTCCAGGGCAAAAAAAAAAAAAAAAAAAAAAGGCGCAACAAACCTCAGTGCCGCTGTTTAAGCCAGCGCAGTGAGTGGCCGCAGGGGAAAACAAACAGACCCCGGCGCCTCTTCAACAGGCGACTGGAACACCAACTTAAAAAAGGCTCTGAGGCAGGGAGCCAGGCGATCAGGCTCGGCTGGCCCCACCCCCACAAAGAACAGCAACCAGAAACTCTGGATTGAGAGTTTCACAGCAAGCGCAGCTGAACCCGGGACGGTCCAGCTCTGTGGAGGAGGGGCGTCCGCCATTACTGAGGCAGCCCGCCGTTGCCAAGGCAACCCACCATTGCTGAGGCAGCCCACTGTTGCCAAGGCAACCCGCCAAAGCAAAGAGACTCCGCCCCAACAGAGGCAGGCCACCATCGCCAAAGCAGTTCTAACTACACCCATATAAATAGGACTGCAGGGAAGTTCACTCCGCAGCAGGGCAGAGCCCACACCAGCTCAGCAAAGCTGCTATAGGCTGACAGTGACTAGGCTGCCTCCTTGCTGGGCTGGGCAGGTCTGAAGGAAAAAAAAAAAAAAAAAAAAGGAAGGCAGCAGCATAACAGAAACTCATAAATAAAGCCCTAAATCCCTGGGACGGAGCACCTGGGAACAAAAAGCAGTTTATGAGTTCAGCTGCAGCAGACCTAAAAGTACCTGCCCAGCAGCTCTGAATGAACAACAACAGAGCTCGTAGCTCACCATTTGAGCTCCTATAAAGACGAGACCGTCTCCTCAAGCAGCTCCCTGACCCCTATATATCCAAAAAGACACCTCATAAAAGAGAGATCAGATTGACACTAAGCGGGTATCCATTTGGGACAAAGATAGCAGAAGAAGAAAACTGGTAACAACCCTTGCTGTTCAACAGCTGCTGCAGGTGAACCCCAGGCAAGCAGGGCCTGGAGTGAACCTCAGCAGACCTACAGCAGAGGGGCCAGACTGTCAGATGGAAAACCAAGAAACAGAAATAACCTCATCATCAACAAACAGAACGTCAATCTGAAAGATTTGAGACCCAATCTGAAAGCCAGCAACTACAAAGTCAACAGGTGGATAAATCCTTAAAGATGGAAGAAACCAGCGCAAAAAGGATGAAAACACCCGAAACCAGAACACCTCTCCTCCTACAAGGGATCACAACTCCTCACCAGCAAGGGAACAAGGTTGGAGGGAGAACGAGTGTGATGAAATGACAGAATCAGACTTCAGAAGGTGGGTAGTAAGAAACTTCTGTGAACTTAAAGAACATGTTCTAACCAAATGCAAAGAAACTGAGAACCTTGAAAAAAGATTTGACGAAATGCTAACAAGAATGGACAAAATAGAAAGGAATACAAGTGAATTGATGAAGCTGAAAAACGCAACACGAGAACTTCGCGAAGCATGTACAAGTATCAACAGCCGAATGGACCAAGCAGAAGAAAGGATATCAGAGGTCGAAGATCAACTCAATGAAATACAACGGGAAGGCAAGACTGGAGAAAAAAGGGTAAAAAGGAATGAACAAAGTCTCCAAGAAATGTGGGACTATGTGAAAAGACCTAATCTACGTTTGATAGGCGTACCCGAATGCGACGAAGAGAATGAATCCAAGCTGGAAAATCCTCTTCGGGATATTATTCAGGAAAACTTCCCCAACCTAGCAAGGCAGGCAAACATTCAAGTCCAAGAAATACAGAGAACACCACAAAGATATTCGTCAAGAAGAGCAACCCCAAGGCACATAATCGTCAGATTCACCAGGGTCGAAATGAAGGAGAAAATACTAAGGGCAGCCAGAGAGAAAGGTCGGGTTACCCATAAAGGGAAGCCCATCAGACTCACAGCAGATCTCTCAGCAGAAACCCTACAAGCCAGAAGAGAGTGGGGGCCAATATTCAACATCCTTAAAGAAAAGAACTTTCAACCCAGAATCTCCTATCCAGCCAAACTAAGCTTCATAAGTGAAGGAAAAATAAAATCCTTTGGGAACATGCAAGTACTCAGAGATTTCGTCACCACCAGGCCAGCTCTACAAGAGCTCCTGAAAGAGGCTCTACACATATAAAGGAACAACAAGTACCAGCTCAACTAAAGGGCAAAACAGCCAGCTAGCACCAAAATGGCCGTATCAAATTCACATATAACAATATTAACCCTAAATGTAAATGGACTAAATGCCCCAATCAAAAGACACAGACTGGCAAATTGGATAAAAAGACAAAACCCATCGGTGTGCTGTATCCAGGAAACCCATCTCACATGCAAGGATACACAAAGGCTCAAAATAAAGGGATGGAGGAAGATTTACCAAGCAAATGGAGAGAAAAAAAAAGCAGGAGTTGCAATTCTCATCTCCGATAAATTAGACTTTAAAGCAACAAAGATCATAAGAGACAAAGAGGGACATTACATAATGGTAAAAGGATCAATGCAACAAGAAGAGCTAACGATCCTAAATATATATGCACCCAATACAGGAGCACCCAGATACGTAAGGCAAGTTCTTAATGACTTACAAAGGGACTTAGACTCCCACACAATAATAGTGGGAGACTTTAACACCCCATTGTCAACATTAGACAGATCAACCAGACAGAAAATTAACAAGGATATCCAGGACTTGAACTCAGACCTGGACCAAGCAAACCTAATAGACATTTACAGAACTCTCCACCCCAAATCCACAGAATATACATTCTTCTCAGCACCACATCACACCTACTCTAAAATTGACCACATAATTGGGAGTAAATCACTGCTCAGCAAATGCAAAAGAACGGAAATCGTAACAAACAGTCTCTCAAACCACAGTGCAATCAAATTAGAACTCAGAATTCAAAAACTAACTCAGAACCGCACAGCTTCATGGAAACTGAACAACTTGCTCTTGAATGTTGACTGGATAAACAATGAAATGAAGGCAGAAATAAAGATGTTCTTCGAAACCAACCAGAATGAAGACACAACATACCAGAATCTCTGGGACACATTTAAAGCAGTCTCTAGAGGAAAATATATAGCAATAAGTGCCCACATGAGAAGCAAGGAGAGATCAAAAATTGACACCCTATCGTCAAAACTGAAAGAGCTAGAGGAGCAAGATCAAAAAAGCTCAAAGTCTAGCAGAAGACAAGAAATAGCTAAGTTCAGAGCAGAAATGAAGGAGATAGAGACACAAAAAACCCTTCAAAAAATCAATAAATCCAGGAGCTGGTTTTTTGAAAAGATCAACAAAATAGACAGACCACTAGCCAGATTAATAAAAAAGAAAAGAGAGAATAACCAAATTGATGCAATAAAAAACGGTAAAGGGGATATCACCACAGATTCCACAGAAATTCAAACCATCATCAGAGATTATTACAAACAATTCTATGCACACAAACTAATAAACCTGGAAGAAATGGATAAATTCCTGGACACTTGCCTCCTGCCAAGCCTAAACCAGGAAGAAGCCGAAACCCTGAACAGACCCATAACAAGGTCTGAAGTTGAGGGAGCAATTAAAAGCTTACCACCCAAAAAAAGCCCAGGTCCAAATGGGTTCACAGCTGAATTCTACCAGACATACAAAGAGGAGCTGGTACCATTCCTTCTGAAACTATTCCAAACAATACAAAAAGAGGGGATTCTTCCCAAATCATTTTATGACACCAACATCATCCTGATTCCAAAACCCGGCAGAGACTCAACAAGAAAAGAAAACTTCAGGCCAATATCCATGATGAACATAGATGCAAAAATCTTCAATAAAATACTGACAAGCCGATTGCAACAGCACATCAAAAAGCTTATCCACCATGATCAAGTAGGCTTCATCCCGGGGATGCAAGGCTGGTTCAACATACGCAAGTCTATAAACGTAATTCACCACATAAACAGAACCAAAGACAAAAACCACATGCTTATCTCAATTGATGCAGAGAAGGCCTTTGACAAAATTCAACAGCCCTTTATGCTAAAAACACTCAATAAGCTAGGTATCGATGGAACGTATCTCAAAATAATAAAAGCTATTTATGACAAACCAACAGCCAATATCATACTGAATGAGCAAAAACTGGAAGCATTCCCTTTGAAAAGTGGCACCAGACAAGGATGCCCGCTCTCACCACTACTATTCAATATAGTATTAGAAGTTCTAGCCAGAGAAATCAGGCAAGAAAAAGAAATAAAGGGCATTCAAATAGGAAAGGAGGAAGTCAAATTGTCTCTATTTGCAGACGACATGATTGTATATCTAGAAGACCCCATCGTCTCAGCCTCAAACCTCCTGAAACTGAGAAGCAACTCCAGCAAAGTCTCAGGACACAAAATCAATGTGCAAAAATCACATGCTTTCCTATACACCAATAACAGACTTAAAGAGAGCCAAATCAAGAATGAATTTCCATTCACAATTGCCACAAAGAGAATAAAATACCTAGGAATACAACTAACAAGGAACATAAAGGACCTCTTCAAGGAGAACTCCAAGCCACTGCTCAACGAAATAAGAGAGGACACAAACAGATGGAGAAACATTCCATGTTCATGGTTAGGAAGAATCAATATCGTGACAATGGCCATACTGCCCAAAGTAATTTACAGATTCAATGCTATCCCCATCAAGCTACCAATGACCTTCTTCGCTGAACTGGATAAAACCACCTTAAACTTCATATGGAACCAAAAGAGAGCCCGCATAGCCAAGTCAATTCTAAGCAAAAAGAACAAAGCGGGGGGCATCACACTACCAGACTTCAAACTATACTACAAGGCTACAGTAATCAAAACAGCATGGTACTGGTACCAAAACAGAGATATAGACCAATGGAACAGAACAGAGGTCTCGGAGGCAACACAACATATCTACAACCATCTGATCTTTGACAAACCAGACAAAAACAAGCAATGGGGAAAGGATTCCCTGTTCAATAAATGGTGTTGGGAAAGCTGGCTAGCCACGTGCAGAAAGCAGAAACTGGACCCCTTCCTGACACCTTACACTAAAATTAACTCCAGATGGATTAAAGACTTAAACATAAGACCTAACACCATAAAAACCCTAGAAGAAAATCTAGGCAAAACCATTCAGGACGTAGGTGTAGGCAAGGACTTCATGGCCAAAACACCAAAAGCATTGACAACAAAAGCCAAAATAGACAAATGGGACCTAATCAAACTCCACAGCTTCTGCACAGCAAAAGAAAAAATCATTTGAGTGAATCGGCAACCAACAGATTGGGAAAAAATTTTTGCAGTTAACCCATCTGACAAAGGGCTGATATCCAGAATTTACAAAGAACTAAAACAGATTTACAAGAAAAAAACTAACAAGCCCATTCAAAAGTGGGCAAAGGATATGAACAGACACTTTACAAAAGAAGACATACGTGAGGCCAACAAACATATGAAAAAATGCTCATCATCACTGGTCATCAGAGAAATGCAAATCAAAACTACATTGAGATACCATCTCACGCCAGTTAGAATGGCGATCATTAAAAAATCTGGAGACAACAGATGCTGGAGAGGATGTGGGGAAATAGGAACACTTTTACAGTGTTGGTGGGAGTGTAAATTAGTTCAACCATTGTGGAAGACAGTGTGGCGATTCCTCAAGGACCTAGAAATAGAAATTCCATTTGACCCAGCAATCCCATTACTGGGTATATATCCAAAGGATTACAAATCGTTCTACTATAAGGACACGTGCACACAAATGTTCATTGCAGCACTGTTTACAATAGCAAAGACCTGGAACCAACCCAAATGCCCATCGACGATAGACTGGATAGGGAAAACGTGGCACATATACACCATGGAATATTATGCAGCCATCAAAAACGATGAGTTTGGGTCCTTTGTAGGGACATGGATGAACCTGGAAACCATCATTCTCAGCAAACTGACAGAAGAGCAGAAGATCAAACACCGCATGTTCTCACTCATAAGCGGGTGTTGAACAATGAGAACACATGGACACAGGGAGGGGAGCACTACACACTGGGGTCAGTTGGGGGGAAATAGGGGAGGGATGGTGGGGGGTGGGAAGCTGGGGAGAGATAGCAAGGGGAGAAATGCCAGATGTAGGTGATGCGGAGGAAGGCAGCAAATCACACTGCCACGTGTGTTCCTATGCAACAATTTTGCATGTTCTTCACATGTACCCCAAAACCTAAAATGCAATAAAATAAATAAATGGGGAAAAAAAATAAATAAAATTAAATAAATAAATAAAAGGAAATGTCATGGCTTTTTGATTTTACATACAGACAACTCAAACTTTCTCCATATTAGCAAAAAGGCAGCTTTGCTTTCTCATTATCTGTGTGCTCACTGGAGTAGCACTTTTAATTTCCTTCAATAACTTTTCCTTTCATTCATAACTTGTCTGACTGCTTGGCGCAAGAGGCCTAGCTTTCAGCCTACTTTGCCTTTTGACATGCTTTCCTTACTAAGCTTAATCACTTCTAGCTTTTGGTTTAAAGTAAAAGATGTGGAATTCTTCCTTTCATGTGAACACTTAGAAGGCATATTAGGCTTATTAATTGGG